AAGGGGATGGGGGGGGGGTGGCCGGGGAGGCGGTGGCAGGTGTCTGCTGGCTCCCATCTACAGCTCCCGACCGACCCGGCTTGTCCCAAAGGCAGGAAGCAGCCCTGGCACCCATGGGCCCCCCACAACACAGCTCGAGGTGTCCCTTCCAGCCCCATCTTCAGGATGAGGGCAGCAGGCCGGCCACCACGGTCCCCCGGCCTAGGGGAGGGCAGGAAGGGCCCTGAACGCCGGGGAGGAGGGGGCTGGCGGGCGCCCGGGCCTGGGCTCTGCTCCCCAGCCTCCACCAGGTGAGAGGTCACTGCATGGGTGGCAGAGGCCGGGGATCCCCCTGCCATGACGGTAGTCATGGGACGCTGACTCACTGCTGACCACCTGACCACAGGCAAGGCGAGGGCCCTGCCAGGGGGTTCCCCGAACTCCGCCTTGTTTATCTCCGTGGCCGGAGGTGGGCCGGCGGCTTTGGCCGGGGGGCATGGTGGGCAGAGCCAGCTCTGGGTCCCTGGGGCAGGGGTCTCCAAGCCTGCTGGGGGGCCCTTCTGTTTCTTCTTGAGGCTCCACCCCTCCTCCACACTCCCACTTGCCACATGGGGCTGGATGGCGAGAACGGGGCGGGCCTTGAGCCCGTCCTGGGAGCTGTGTCCAGCACTCAGGGCTTTCCCGGGTTGGGGCCGGGCCGGGCGGCACGGAGCCGGCCCTAGGGCTGCTGAGTCATGCTGGGCCAGCAGCTGCCCGTAGGCCACAGCCTCTGCCCAGCGGCCGGTCAGCAGCCAGGGCCACTTCCCAGGCTCCCTTTCCGGGGAGAGCCCGAAGGGGACTGTGCTCTATGGGAGGCTGCTCTGGGCGGAGTGGAAGCCTTGCCCAGGCTGGAGCCCCTGGGGAGGGTCAGGCCCCGCTGGGGACAAGTCCCCGTGAGTGCCCGGGGCAAAACACCTTGGTGGCCGACTAGCCACGGTGGGCCAACCTTCCCTCGGCCTGGGCCTCCTGCCCCGGAAGGCCTTCCTGCTCCCACAGCCCTGGCCGGACTGAGCTGCCAGTGTGCTCTGCTCACAGGCCCTGCCCGGGCAGCTCCCGGCGACCACCTGTCCGGCCCGTCTCCTTCCCCAGCCTGCGAACAGGTCG